AGTTCTTGTGCAGTCGTACTAATGACCGAACCACAAGTGAGGCCATCACACTCACTTGTAGTACATTCACACGCTTGTGAACGCTTCAAGACGTTCATCAGATGGCTATCTGATGAACAAGAGGCAGGCATCTTCACGGTTCGATGCTGCCAGCTGACCCATGGCTCGTGCCTTCTGAGCCATGGTAATCCTAGGATGACATCAAATTTTTCATCCAGGTCAAGTACGATGAAATCATCATCGTACTTTTTGCCTTCAAGCGTGTAGTGAATTCCCACTACACGTTTCTTTACTGTTACGGATGCGCCAGTCGTAAGACGCACCGTCATCCTCGTTGGAGGGGTCTCGCGCTCAACATATTTGAGCCTACGATCATCTAGCGATTGGCGTCGAACAAAGTTGTTCGAAGCCCCACATTTAACTAGGGCGCGAAGTGACATGTTCTTTGTCACTTCGATCTTCAATGTGATGAGGGATACCTCATCACTCGGAGCGGCAGCACACAGTGACTGTGTGTCGGAAGCAACCTTCGTCAAGAGTCCCGCAAACTCTCTTGACGTTGCTGGATCAGTAGGGCGCTCCGCCCCTACTGACCCCGACCGTTTTTTGATGTTCCACCACGTTGTTGCGATTTTGCAGCAACGTGGGACCCGCGTCTCTGGCCCTTCTTGTCAGACGGATGATCGTCACTCCCAGTGTTACGAGACACTGGGCGTGGGGCACTACACTCATAAGCGTAGTGGCCCAACTTCTGACAGCGATTGCACTTTTGCAATCGCTTGTACCCTGGAGAGCGAGGTCGCTCGCTCTCTACATAGGAGAGGTCCATTGGCTCGGGGCCTCCGCCCTCCTGTCGCCTCGGTGGACGGTACGACCCCGAGTGGACGTGAGCCTGTTGTAGGCTAAAGTCCTCCTGTTCCGCTGCAGAGATCGCTTCATCCAGAGATTCTAGTTCCAAGCGGAACAGGTGGGTCTTGACAGGACCATCTGTCAGACCCTTAATGAACACAGTAACCTGCGTGTGTTCATCGATTGGGTTAAGCACGATACAACTAACGAGGTATCGTACGTGTTGGGCGTAAGCGTGTATATCACGCTTACCCTGTTTCAAATCCAGGAGCTCAGCCCGAGCCCAAAATTCGGCGCGAGGCGTTATAAAACGTGTGTTTGAGCCGCGCCTTGAAGACATCATACATTGGGAAAGCGTATGGGTCATGCAGTTTGATCCCTAAGGCCCAAGCTTTAGCACGTCCTGCCAAGTTCGACATGGGGAACTTGACCTTCATCGCATCGTCACCGATGCGACGAGCCTCAATGGCATCGTCGAGCTCAACGAACCATCTTAACAAGGAGTCGCTTTCGACTGCCTTGTACTTAGAGACATCAATCTTCAAGGACTCGGGTCGACGTATACACGTCGACCCGAGTCTGTGGCAGCAACAGCACTAGCCTGCTGTTGTCTCAACAGTTCAGACTGTTGAGCACCCTGCTGCATCAACAAGTCAGCTTGTTGAGCGCCTTGTTCTCTCAACAGGTCAACCTGTTGAGAACCTTGCTCCTGTAGCAAGGTGAGTTTCTTAACAACTTCGTCAAGTTCATGTTGTATGAACTTGGCGATGGTTGCATGTTGGTCGTCTCCGCTAAGAGAGAGCAACATGGCACCAACGGCAGGGTTGCCGATGGTTTCAGCCATACGCTGAACCGCATTCCATTCGAGGTCACTCAACTGGTGGAAATAATCACGCGTTGCGTGATGACGTTCATCACCCGCTGATTCCATAGCGGGTGCGGTGGTCGCTGAACGGACCACGAAGTGCTACCAGGTGTAATGGGGCACCTTCCGACTATACTGATAACAGTATAGTCTACCTTCACTGATGACAGTGAAAGCAGGTGCCTCAATTACCTCACGTACACGTAAGCAGAGGAAGTCAATCAACTAAACACACGCTTAGTTGAGAAGGAAAAGAAAACTGTATTTAATATAGTTAACTATCTCATAAAAATAATCTGTTATAACCTATGTTAACTATATCAAACTACAACTATGTATGTTGACAACTTGCCCTCCACTCATTGCGCGCGTCCATCGGTCATTGGTCAGCGCGTTGGTTGATATGATGGCCCATATCAAGTAATGAGAAGGCATCTCCAACTTCAAGGAGATCTAGGAACAATATTATAAGAAAAGATAAATTGTCAAATATTATTAGTTATAATAATATTTTTATTGACACTTCATATAAGTGTCAATATTATGTAACGGGCTCACCCCGTTACAGGATAATGATTCTGTGTTATGCTTGGCTTTGTCTGCTTTCCTTTCTCTTCTATGCATCCCTATCTACGCTAGTTACCCTACCATTTTTGCTCTCGAAAGGCACAGAAGGAGGGGTCAAACAGTGATGATGTGGCGCCTGCCGCAGACAAATTCAACAGAATCGAAAAGACCAACCTCCTTCGTTAAAACCTGCTCCCTGCTCGATGTATTCCAGTTCTCAATCCATTTATAGATTCCTCCCACGACCTTCAAGCTGGCATTCGCAACGCACGCATACATAAACTTCCCTTGACATGTGGTTTAAGTAGGTTTTCTCGTCCAAAATACAAGAAAAATACTCATTATATAAAGTGATATTGCCCTGCCTGACTATAACTTATAACTTATAACTTAGCGACCATAGAACGAGCTCGGTGGACACGAAAATTGATAACCTACCGGAGGTTGTATCTTAATGGAGGATAACTTATTAAAGGGAGGTCAGTATTTTTTTCCAAAATGTGAAGGGTGTGAATTTAATAGCTTCCCTTCAACTCATTCTCAAATTTGCTTTTAATAATACACTTCACCCACCACTCGATTTAAAGTAACATGAAGCTCTCTTTTGGAATTGTACTTGCCGCCGTCGCCGTCCTCGGTTGTTCCGCCGTCTCTATCCCAGCTGCTTCTGTATCTAACGATCACCTCCGGAAGCTAAAGATGTCCCAGGTGACGCAACAATCGACTTTGCCTGACGCTGCCCCTACTTGCCAAGGAGGACCTTGCACATATCCTGCTCCATCCGGCCCTCCTGCCTAGAGCGTATGTTTCCTACCAATGTTGCGTCGTTCAGCTGTGTGTGCGACAGCGACATTTTTCTCTTTGATAAATGTGTGCGAGTTTATCCGTACTAGCTGTAACAACCTTGAGAAGCAAATCACCCTTGCACACGATGCCAATGCCAAACATTACCTCTTTAACCCATCGAGAATTTATACGGTTCTGTTTTTGCTTTTTGTAGCAGAGATAAACCATGTGGATTGTTTTAATGAATAAATACATGCTTGGCTTTGGGTGGTATATCACTTGTTTTGGAATTCGAATAATCAAGTTCAATCAAGTTACGGATTCAGTGTTCGTTAGAACCATCTCAATTCTTATAGATAAAGCCTTATAGACGTCCGCAAGGTGCAGCTCAACCAAAAGCACTGGGTCAATCTCAATTCGCGTGTTGTGCCTACCCCTCGCCAACTATCGTGATACAACACATACCACTCGTATAAAGCTCAGCATCAGAGGTGCAATTGCTGCAGCCCTGGCAGCAAGTATCGGTGCAGCCACATATACCATTACCGTCGATCCCGCCTCCTTAAAGTTGAAGTGAAACGACGACTCATATTATGTACGCCGCTCTGAGCCAATCATCAATACTGGTAGTGTAGGAAAAGTAGCAACCACGTTGGTAAAACCGTAAAGATACGATAATACCTCTTCTTCTTCAATTGGGTCATGCGGTCAAATTAACCAGCACCCGATGCAATGCTATCAATGGACTGGAAATAATCACTAACGACATTGATGATGAAGATTTACGGCGCGCAAAGTTCGTTATGATCGTCGGAGGAGACAACGACGTGACGGGAAAGTCGCCGATATAGGACTTAAGATCACAACCGTACGGAAGCGATTCATTGTGGTCAGCTAGGGAGGCACCAAAGAAAGACGTCAAGTACTAGATGGATGTATATTGCACAAAACTCCATCGGATGTCTCGCATGAAGTTGTTTAGCTAGTTGAAGCCGTAGTAACTGAAACTCTCCGCTAGCTCTGTCATGGGAATAAAGAGGAAGACCTAGAACAGAATACTCTTGTGCTGCGAGGTCGAGTTTTCGCGTCATCTGGACAGGCTCGTACGGGAAAATCTGAGGTAATTCCTATGAAATCTTGTGGGTATGTGCGTTGTAGATCCAATCAACATAACAGAGGCCGCTGCAAAGATATTTTGAGGCATAGCCACAGGATAAATCAAAGGTACAGAAGAGAAAGACAGGTAAAGCTTGCACAAAATGTAATGACCTGCCACATGCAGTGCGGTGACGTGTCCTGCTTCAGAAAGCGCTTCTACTCGGTGTGACGGTGGATAGCAAGCGTTGCAACAGCCCCAGGAGATACTACAACGAATGAAAGAGGAGATAAAGTAGCGCCAACGTCGGCAGACAGTAGCTCTTCCCATCGTACACCACGAGAAACGTGACGTCGTCATCCTTTGCATCGGCATAAATCTGGTCAGCACCAGTCCTTACAAGGTCTCGGTCTGTAAGAATCACCTCTCGGGCGTAAATTCTACCTACGAGCAAGAAATTAAGTTGAAAATTAGGAGTGAAGATGAAGACTTATCGCAATCACTTTCACTTTGACAAGTTGATAGGGAAAATGCAAAAGTCATAAGAAATGATGACCTCACGCATTTGCTACTCTTCGCTTTAAGATCAAGGTGTTATGTCAAATTTCATGGCAATACAATACCCATGATAAAAATAAACTTCGATGATACATTTCAGCAGATGTCATGAGAGTTATAAACTATAATCAACTGTATGGCTTTTATTCTATCTACCATCATTTCGTTAAGTGCAATAATGCTTTTAAATTAGACAAAATTGATCGAGTCTCTAAAGCAATAACCCTTTGTGATTGGTGTAAACTCGCAACCACTCTTTTCGGGCAAACTAGTGCGTGCATGGCGTCTCAGTCGTTCTCACAGACCTTTGGGAGCACCAGCTCAGGTGCCAATGTGGATACGAGCTCAGGAGGCGCTGGCATGTCCAATTACGCGGAAGAGAAAGGTACAAAATAGTGGCTAAATATGTTCTTTTTTGTTGAAAAGCTATTAAAACTTGGTTTTAACGTTTTAACAGCAAAATGCGCCGAATTTCTGTTGAATTTCAAGTCGAACCTGGACGACCCGGCGCTGGGTCCCAAATACGCGCTAATGCTGGTGCGATGCAGCGTTAAAACTCTGTAATTGGATGGTTTTAACGTATCTATTGCAGCAAGAGGTGGCGAATCGGGAACGGACGTCGATTCCGATTTCCTTGGACGACGTGGAGATTGTGCGTCCTTTTCTGTCATGTTAAAGCAATTACAGTATTTGCTATAATGGCTCAAACCTTTTTTATTGTAGTTTGACAAGGACGACGCGACCTTTGTGAGTCGAATCGTGCGTAACGCCCGACGATATATTTCGCTTCTTTCAGACGCTGTGGACGAAAATTTACCACCTCCAACACGAGACATTTCTGATTCGCAAGATGTGCTAGACGTGCTACGAATTTCTCGTGCTCAGGAATTGGCACAGCTGCAACAGATTAATGACAATGAAATTGATGGCAGTCAATCGATATCAAGTGGGAATGCTGCTAATATTTTTCCTTCTGCGTTGATGCGACGCTTTGAAGTGCATTTAATTCCCGGTGTCAAGCTAAAAGCTGTACCTATCCGACAAGTTAAGGCAGCAAAAGTTGGAGCTCTTGTACGTATCAAGGGAATGGTGACTCGTGTGTCAACAGTAAAGCCGCTGTTGACGGTGGCAACATATACGTGCGAAGCGTGTGCTTATGAGGTGTATCAGGAAGTAAAGGCTCGACAGTTTAACCCACTGACTCAGTGTCCTAGTGAACGCTGTCAAACGAATAAAGCTCAGGGCCGTTTGATTTTGCAAACGAAGGCATCTAAGTTCGACAAGTATCAGGAAGTCAAGTTTCAGGAACTACCTGACCAAGTGCCAATGGGACACATCCCTCGGTCACTTACCGTGTATTTGCGTGGTGAGCTCACGCGGACGTGCGAGCCTGGCGCTCTGGTCACAATCTGCGGTGTATTCTTACCTTTGCCGTACTCACCGCAACGACAAATGCAAATGGGACTTGTCACGGAAACATATCTGGAAGCAACAGATGTAGTGAATCACAAAAAACGGTATTCTGCGATGGAATCATCAGAAGCCATGGAAAGTGCCGTGCTGCGGTTACAAGAAGGCTCCGAGAATGTGTACGAGGTGCTGTCACAATCATTGGCACCGGAAATCTATGGCCACGAAGACGTGAAGAAAGCGCTACTGTTGCTGCTTATAGGTGGTGTTACGAAGCGCATGGATGAGGGTATGAAGTTGCGTGGCGATCTGAATGTGTTGCTCATGGGAGACCCTGGTGTAGCTAAGTCGCAGCTGCTGAAGCACATTGCAACTGTGGCTCCGCGAGGCATATACACGACAGGAAAAGGTAGCTCTGGTGTTGGATTGACAGCTGCGGTGGTGCGTGATGCGACGACAAAAGAGATGACTCTCGAAGGTGGTGCTCTTGTTCTAGCGGATATGGGAATCTGCTGCATTGATGAGTTCGATAAAATGGAGGAGGGTGACCGAACGGCTATCCACGAGGTCATGGAGCAGCAGACAGTGAGTATTGCCAAAGCAGGCATCACAACGACGCTTAACGCGCGCTCGTCCGTGCTTGCAGCTGCAAACCCTATTTATGGTCGTTACAACAAGAAGCTCAGCGCGTCGCAAAACATTAATCTTCCCAATGCGCTGCTGTCTCGTTTCGACCTCCTATTTTTGTTGCTGGACGTCGCCAACTACGAGAAAGATGAAGCGCTAGCACGCCACGTTACGTATGTGCACCGCTTTTCCCGCAACCCTGCAATGAAGTTCGAGCCTGTGAGACCTGAAGTGCTGCGCTACTTCATTGCAATTGCAAAGCAATATCAGCCCAATATCCCAGAGCACCTTTGCGGATATATTGTTGAGGCTTATGTCACACTACGTCAGCAGGATGCGAACGAACATGCTCGCGAGAGACAACAGCAGCAATTTCGCCAACGACAGTATGGCGATGGCGGCGCTAATGACGCACAGACAGCGATGACGGCTCGTCAGCTACTGAGCATATTACGACTTTCGCAAGCACTTGCACGATTGCGTTTTTCCACGGAAGTAATTCACCAGGACGTTGACGAAGCCATTCGACTAGTGTATGTGTCCAAGGCGTCGTTGTCTGAGCAAGATGATACAAACGGTACTGGAAATACTGCCAAAGCGGGCACTACAAACAGAGGTGTTCGTAGCAGCGGGTCCTCTGATGCCACGTCAAAAATCTTTCGTTTATTGCTGGAATTTGCTACGGATCGTAATTTGAAAGTTCTCGCAATGAGTGACCTGGAACCGGTAGTATTGCGCAAGGGCTTCACTTCTCAGCAACTGAATGCTTGCATTGGATACTACCAGGAACTAGAGGTTATGCAGTTGTCTAGTAATGGCACCCGATTAACTCTCATTTGAAAATAATGTCAAGCAGATTAAAAACAAATTTGCATCGAGAACAGTGCTTTTACCTTAGGCGGTACTATACCTATACTTTATTTTAAAAATATCCATGGATTTTGAGGTTTAATGAACCAGAACAATGTCGAATTCACTGCATTTTATATCTTGACATGTTATAAGATAAAATAAAAAGTTATTATGAAGTCTTCTTATGGAAACATGTCTCTTCTAGCAATCCAGAATCAAATTCGAGCACGAATACACCTCGACAATTAATATAAGGTGACAAAATCGACAAAATGTTTCATGCATATTGGTTGGACTAATTCGTTAGCACCAAACAGCCGATACAGACGTGTAATAGGTCGAAGAAGCTGTCGTAGCTCATGTAATTTTGAACTGCCTTGACGTGAAAGCATACAACATGGATAATGTCAACAGAAGCAATTCAATTGAAACAATAGTCATGCAATTATCCCTCAACTTTACAACTCCTCCATGGCGTCAATCTTCTCTACTGCAGCCAGAGCTTCAGACGGTACGCATCGCCACCGTTTAAATAGTACTTCACTAGACGCTCGTCACGCACAAAGCCGAGATTTTCATACAGTCGAATAGCTCTATTGTTAGCAATCTCCGTCTCCAGCATCACCTCCTCACAGCCGTCGTCCCGCATCCGTTCGATGGCTTTTTGTGCCAGTTGCGAACCGATACCGCGATGGCGAAACTGTTTTTCTACCGCCAACATAGCAATGTACCCTCTCCATGGACGTTTTAGGTCTTTCTGTTCACTTAATCCATCATCTCCCGTTTCTTCGGGGGTCGCACCCACTGGTTCTTGACGGCAAATGATGACACCTACAAGCTTATGCTGAACTCTTGCCAAAATACTTAATTGTGGCCAATTGTAGAGAAAGTAACGATACGTAAAGATCGAGTAGGGTTCTGATAGATCTTTATCAATCAGTTTGACCAATTCTGCAAGCTGCTTCTCACCCTGATACGTCGAGAAGACGACAACATCGGCATCAGCCGCTGAGGGTAAGCTCTTAGACTTTGCCATTCGATCCGATTAATGGATAATATCAAAAGTTAAGGATTTTTGTGGCTACAGGATGCATAGTACTGGTATACCGGTATTACAAATACCAAGCTTGATTTTGACAAATACCGGTCTGCAGCTCGAACTTCCAGTCTCGGCTTTCAGTAATTATGCTTGTAAGCAAATTTAACGCAATTCTGTAAGAATGCAATTGGCAGGGACAACTTTTAATCAAACGATTGATTAGCTGCAATTGCATGCCAGCAAATGGTCAAAGAACAAAGCCGAGGTCTTTTTTGACCAATTTAATAGGAACAGCAATAGTAACAAATACTCGTTAAAAGACGCAGCAATAAATGAACTACATGTGACTTGGAAAAGCTGTAATCTGTCCTCCTTTGATCTTCAAGACGGAATCAGATTCAGACCCTGCCTGTCCTCTTTTAGTCTATTGCGAAAATTACTGGTCAGCAGAGCTCAAAGCCCGTTTTGAAATAGGTCTTTTATATGAGTATGTTGCAAGATGACAATCGCATTAAAGACGTCTAATTCCACAATGGGTAAGTTAAGTACAAACATTAACCTTATTTATTCCTTAAAAAAGATACTTGACCCAATTTTCCCCTTAATCATCAACTGTACTCGGTTGGCTCTTAGCGCTCGTAGCTCCTCCCTCCTCCTCTCAATGATATCGACGTCATTTTCCAACTCGCAGACAAGTGTCTCTCTCTGTCATCTCTTGTTATTGTCCCAATCGTCTCAATGGCCCCTAAACGTCGTACCCGTAAGACCACCAAGGATGTCTATGCAAATGTCGCTGTGGAAGAACGTACTAAACTTGGTGTGGAAGCCAAAGAACGTGGAAATACCGCTTTTGCTTCAGGTGATCACGCGACGGCGATTAAAGAATTCACAACGGCCATTGCATACGAACCTACCAACGTGATTTACTATTCCAATCGTTCAGCTGCTTATTTGTCAGCTGGTCAAGCAACTCCGTCCATGCAAGATGCCAAGTCATGCATTGAATTGGATCCCAAGTTTGCCAAAGGTTATGCACGTCTTGGAGCTGCTCATTTCTACATTAAGAACTATGCAAAGGCAATTACTGCTTATACTCAAGGACTGACAGTTGAAAAGGGGAACAAGGCTCTGCAAGCTGGTCTTACACAAGCTCAAGCTGCTCAGCAAGTGCAGGATGAAGAAATTAGTGGCGTTGAAATGGATGAAGCAACGCGTAAAATGAAGCGTATGGAGATTGAAGAGAAGATTAACAAAGCTCGAAAAGAGCGGGAAGAACGAGCTAAGAGAGCGGAGAAGGGCTTCTCGGAGGTTATTGGTATTGATCTTGGTACTACGTACTCTTGTGTGGGTGTGTGGAAAGATGGTCAGGTGGAGATCATAGCCAATAGTGAGGGAAACCGTACGACCCCTTCATGGGTTGCATTTAATGAAAGTGAACGTCTCATTGGTGAAGCAGCTAAGATTCAAGCAGCTGGTAATGCTACGAACACGGTGTTTGATGCGAAACGTATCATTGGACGTAGCTTTAGTGATGAAGTGGTCAAGAAAGATGCAAAACACTTTCCATTTACCATTAAGGAAGGAGACGATGATAAGGTCCTGATTGAGGTTGAGTTCAAGGGAGAAAAGAAGAGTTTTACTCCTGAAGAGATCTCGTCGATGGTGCTACTACGTATGAAGGAAACAGCAGAAGCTTTTCTTGGTCAGACCATCTCACAGGCTGTTGTTACTGTACCTGCTTATTTCAATGACCAACAGCGTCAATCTACCAAAGATGCTGGTTCTATTGCTGGTCTGGATGTCAAACGGATCATTAATGAACCGACGGCTGCTGCCCTTGCCTATGGTCTAGACACGAACGCTGGCACGGACGGAAAGGTGTGCAATGTGCTGATTTTTGACTTGGGTGGTGGTACCTTTGATGTATCAATCCTTTCGATCGAAAATGGTATCTTTGAGGTCAAGTCTACGGGTGGTGACACGCACTTGGGTGGTGAGGACTTTGACAACAACATGGTGGAGCACCTTTTGACCGAGTTTAAGCGCAAGAACCGCAACATGGACCCATCTAGCTCGGCCCGTGCCATGCGCCGTCTACGCACGGCTTGCGAGTCGGCTAAGCGCATGTTGTCGACCACGACGAGTGCATCGGTGGAGGTGGACTCGCTGTTCGAAGGAGTAGACTTTTCATCCACAGTGACTCGAGCCAAGTTTGAGTCGCTCAACGAGGAGCTGTTCAAGCGCTGCGAGGAGACGGTGCTGAAGGTGCTCGAGGATGCTAAGATGAAACCTGAGGACGTGACCGAGCTGGTGCTGGTCGGTGGTTCTACCCGTATCCCCAAGGTGCAAAACATGTTGTCTGCACTGTTTGGCGGTAAGGAGCTGTCCAAATCGATCAACCCGGATGAAGCCGTGGCCTACGGTGCCGCCGTGCAGGGTGCTATCTTGGACGGTATCCGCAACGACGCCACCAACTCGTTGCTGCTGGTAGACGTGACACCGCTGTCGCTCGGTATTGAGACGGTGGGCAAGGTCATGTCAGTTCTCATTAAGCGTAACACGGCTATTCCCGTGCGCAAGACGCGTGTATACACGACGGAAGAAGATTACCAGACGTCTGTGGACGTGTGTATCTATGAGGGTGAGCGCGCGTGCGTTGAGTCGAACAACAAGCTGGGTGAATTCAATATCTCTGGCTTAGAGCGCGCCAAGCGTGGCGAGCCTCAGGTCGAGGTGACGTTCGAGATTGACGCCAACGGCATCCTGAACGTGTCCGCCCGTGACAAGAAGACGGGCGCCAAGGCCGAGACTACCATCTCGAACAACCGTGGCCGGCTAAGCCAGGAGGACATCGACCGCATGGTCGCCGAAGCCGACAAATTCAAGAAGGACGACGCCGAGATGCTGCGCCGCATTGAAGCTCGCAATGACCTCGAGCAGTTCATTTACCGTGCTATTGAGATGGCTCGTGAAAAGGGCGACACCAATGTCGAAAGTGCCATCCGCGATGCTCGCGACTGGCTCGAGGACCACGAAGAGGCCACGCTCCGTGAGCTCGAGGACAAGAAGCGTATGCTCGAGCGTATGGTCCGCTTCTAAGTGTGCCTCTTACATTAGCTTTTAGTCAGCGTGCAGATGAATATTCAATCAAAGCTTGCTACTCATTACTCGTACTAGTCACTCACGTCTTGCTGTTTAAACACTTGTGCACATACAGCGGGATTGTATTACTTAGCAAACAAAGTGCAAGCTGAAGAGGCCAGCACAATTCGAAGTGGTCCAGGAAAAGATAGCCCGTGATCACCCACGAGGTGTCCAATAAGCCGTCACGTGGGAGCGCCTCTAGCAATAAAAATTGAGCAGCATTTGCATCACCAGCTTGTGTTTACAACGCAATCGAGTGACGTTCCAGCAAGCAGACGTAACCATCGCCAGCAACTTCGAGCTCTCGCGAAGCGAGAATGCCGGCGAGCCGAAACAAAAATCATCCAGTCAACCGAGCCATATGTCTGCTAGCTCGGGATTCAATTGGCACTACCGAGCTTTGTTGTGAGTTGAATGGCAATAAGAAGGGATATCCGAAAGCTCTAAAAAAGTGTCATTCGACAGCAACAACGAGAACTTGCGGGACCGCAGAATCTTGGCAACATATTGGACTTTGAATGCCGTGATCGTCGTAATGAGCAATCTTCCAGCACTTTGTCAAGCATTATCGTCTACCTTTTTTGCACGCAAGGGGTGTTGAATCGAGCTTTACCAAACGTGCTCTTGCCATCACTAATGAACTCTTGACACGAAAAGACTCACGGCTACTCGACCAGCTGAGCTTAAACTAGTGATTGACAAGTTGCATTGCATTTACAAGAAACGAGCTGCAGAATCCGCAGACATTTTTGCGGTCTGCTCGACCGACTGTCATGAAGATCTACAATCGCTTAAAGAAGAACTGGTGGACTACGCGATGAAAGATAGGCCAAACTAGTCCCTTGATTAAACTATGATCTGTCTGCGCTTTATGGAGTGCACCAAAGTGCTTTTCTTCCTCCACGTTAAAGTGATCGACTGACTGATTAAAGTAAGAGAAGAAGGACAGGGTAAAATGACATTCTACAACGCACTGTATTAAGTGCACTTTCTTGGAACGTCTTTAAGCACGGCAACCTATAGGATATACATTGTGAAGTTGGTCGTTGACTTCAGACAAAGCACTCTCAATAGGGAAGTATCTCGTGCTAGTTTTGTAAGCGAGGTCGCACCAAAATAACTGTTAGTTCCTTTCTAATTCACACTCACAGTCGTTAGTTAGACACCAATACAAGTTTACACGATAAGCTCCCTCGCCACCCTTGGGTAATTGTATTTCTCCTTTTTCTCTTTAACTACTTCTCCAGAGCCTCCTCAACCACCTTCTTTTGCTGATTGGCCCGGTAGATCTGACTGCGTTCGTGCAGTACCAATTTGATCCGAGCCATCGACTTCTTTACCTTCGTCCGTCGTGAGGGGTTCGACATGGCCAAGTTCTTGGCACGACAGTGCTGTAGTTCCGTAAGTAGTGCATTGCGTTCCTTTAGTAGTACAAACCAGAGCTTGTGAAGGTCCTCAGTGCTCTTCTCACGCAGCATCCAGGCCTTCCAGTCGCCGCCCACCGCCACCTGCTTGGATCCTACGCTGGCTGGTACTTGCGTAAGGCTACTAACCTTGGCACCTTCACCCGCTATCTTTTGCACTGGAAAAAAGTCCTCAAGACCACGACGTGCCGTCTGTCCCGCATTGACACGCAAGCCGCCAAAAAGTCGACGCAGCTGAAACGACATTTTAGAAGGCGCTAATATGTGGGGATTCTTGACGACCACAGGTATGCTAGTGACGGTGTTAAGTACGATCAGCGTCAATTTTAATATCTGATCGCACTTAACACAGCTATGAATGAACTGACAGACATGTAGAGAGAGAGATTGCTATAATGAGTATGATAATGAATGGATTATTAAACGAGGTGACAGCGTTTGCCTTACTAAAACATGACTATAATTTATAGAGTAAGACATTTCATTTTTTGGTCATGACATCTTTAGCGACAGAGCCAATTGCTTTGCCCAAATTTGATCGTCCTGGATCTACTTATTTGCAAATGTCAACATCGTAGCCATCTTGTGCTCGTTTTAAACCGAAATCCTCCGAGATTCAAGTTGCAAAACGTTTTAGCGTCTACCCAGAGCCTATACATGTTATTTTAGTGCGTGTGAAGCTTGCTGCAACGTGATGCTGTCTTTGTCTGCTCCACATAGCTCTACGCGTGTCAAAAATGAATGTTATACTCGTACATACTCTTCGGGGAAGGCCAGCGGAGATCAATCGGCGAGCTATCAGCCCAGTCTGTCACTGGCATCACGTCAGCTTTTACAATCAGTCACCAGACTAAAGATGCTTGCACGTTGAAAAGTGATCTCGTGTTCCAGCATGTGTTCAAGTTCCGCCGCCGGATATGATACATGTACAGACGGCATGGCAGCCTCCAATCGCTGGCGTTTACGTCATATTTTAGTAGCACATAGTATTTGCAGGTACTTTAAGCAGGGATACGTTGCCGAGTATTACGAGCCAAGTCACACGCGAGCGGTCAACACCAAATGTTGAGTTCAATGTGCAGTACAACGTTGTTCAACGCGTGTGACGTGGCATTTCGAAAAGGTAATTAGCCAAATCGTTGTAGTTCGGCCACACTTTTGGATCCCAAATATTGCAACATTAAGGTGAACATGCATCATACAGACGGCAACAAGATATACGCCGTCTTCTATCGTATAATAGCTATGCCTCCTTTTGAGGTATCATGACGCAGCGGCTACTGGTCACAAATTTTAGAGCCGCTAGCAGAAAGGCTTTTCTTTGCGCGCGATGACGATTGTTCATCACACTCCTGCATGTGACAGGCGAAGCCGCTTACAAACGTCAAGTCATTTGCACCAATTGTTCCCGATTGGTGTTTGTCGACGCTGTCGACGCGGTTGCTGTTGAAGTTCCCACTAGCAGCTGCTCTTATGGAGGGATTTGGCTCATAGAATGACGCACGCACCGGTCACTATTTGAGCCATTGGCCACGCACTTGGAATCACTTTATTCCATTCCCCTTTTTGCGTGCTTCGTGTCACTTTAAAGTCAACGTTTTATCAGTCGCAATTCTCGCTTTCTATCGCTATGAGAACTCAAGAAATTTCACCCGTGACCTCTAAGATCGACATGTCAAGTCAAATGGAAGAAGTCAAAGCACTGATTCATTCAAGTAAAGTCTTTAACGAAGACACTGTGACCAATGAGGTTGAGTGGTTCTACGGTCCATTGGGTATCCACGAATTCTACTTTATGGGCCAGTCACCACAAGTTATCGCACACCATATCAAGAGTCTTATTGCTGCCAAGCTCATGTCCAAAGCCTCGAATCGCCCTGATGTCAAACTCGAGCAAGAAGACGACAATGGAGCTTTCTTCTCTGTGCTAAGTAACGTCGTGGGCAGTACCAATGAGCCCAGTCGTCGTGCTGCTCGTTATGATGCTGGTATCACGGAGACTGAAGTACTGGAACGTCGTCTTGAGAAACACTATTTCAGTGGCTCTAGTGGTGTCATTGGTGACGGTGTCAAAGCCGGTTATCAATACTTGGAAAAAACAGAAGCTACCAAGAGACGTACCTATCGGATGCAATGCTACCGTTCTAGTGGTGTCCTCGACCCCCTTTCTGTACCTTACCACGTACGCATGTACTTCTTACAAGAACCGATCTTTGCAGATCCCAATGTGAGCGAAACCGAGACCGACATCAATAAAGTGGCTGACAAGGTATTCCTTGAACGCTCTGGTCCACACCTTAAAGAAGTTTACCAAGAGTGCATCATTAAAGCCATGGCTCAAATGACCCCTGCTTTTCATTCTGAGGTCTGGACTGAGTCAGATGGTTCCAAGATGGCTCGTCTTGCTATTGCCTATCGTAGCGGTGCTACGCACTCATACTTTTCCAGTATCGCCGACGTCTACCGTCAGCACGGCCTGTTCTCACAACGCAAGTACGCCGAGTTTTTCGCCAATGGTATCGTCATCTACACCTTTTACCTGCAAATGCTTGATAAACCTGCAGCCGGTAAAGGGTCGTTTAATGACCGTCTCAGTGCCGTTGTGAACGACGCCTCAATGCACTTTACGCTGCCTCGCACGTCGCTCACTCCCATGCTCACGGATGGTTTGTTAACACCACAGCAGATTGCTTACGCGTACGCAGCTTGGAAGTTTACGTTTCATTTCATGCATCGACTGCCCGAGTCATTTGCCATTGTGAGCAAGTCGCTACGTGACCGCGACCCGAACGCGTTTGCTCGTCTGGAGCAGCTCCGCTCCACCATGAAACTCAATACGTACACAGAGTCACAGATTCTGGACCATATTCTAAGCTCGGCTGAGATTGTCAAGATTCTTTACGCGGAGTTCCAGGCCCTGCACGAACCAACAAAGGACAGAAAGCGTGCCGAAGTAAACATTGGCGCTACGCTTTCGACATTGCGCAAGTCTATTGTGGCCGAGCAGGCCTTGCAGATCTTTTCTTTGTTCCACGTGTTTAACAAGCACATCAAGAAGACCAACTTCTTTGCCAACGACAAGGCTGCTCTTGCCTTTCGCCTTGACGGTAAGTTTCTGAGCAAGACGGAATTCCCGGATGAACCCTACGCCGTTATCTACGTCATTGGCTCGGAGTTCCGTGGCTTCCACGTTCGCTTCCTCGACGTTGCTCGTGGTGGAATCCGAATGATTCGCTCCTCGCATGCCCAAGTGTACCTGAACAATGCTTCGTCACTCTTTGACGAGTGCTACGGCCTCGCCTCGACGCAGCACCGTAAGAACAAGGACATCCCGGAGGGTGGTTCCAAGGGTGTTGTGCTGCTCAACCAGGCTCACCAGGACAAGGCGGATGTTGCTTTCCGCAAGTACATTGACGCCGTGCTCGATCTCATGCTCATGAAGGAGCCTGAAGAGGATATTCTGTTTCTGGGTCCCGATGAGGGTACGGCACACCTCATGGACTGGGCCAGCTCGCATGCCAAGAAGCGTGGCTACTTGTACTGGAAAGCCATTACGACGGGCAAGTCGGCTTCGCGTGGTGGTATTCCGCACGACGTGTATGGCATGACCACCCATAGTGTACGCGAGTACGTAATTGGTATCCAGCGCAAGCTGCAACTTCAAGCGCCTATCACCAAAGTACAGACAGGTGGTCCTGACGGTGACCTTGGTAGCAACGAAATTAAGATGAGCCCGCAAGAGGAGACCATCGCTATCGTGGACGGTTCGGGTGTATTGTATGATCCCAAGGGCATCGACCGCGAGCACCTTGTAAAGCTTGCAGACGAGCGTAGCCCTATCTCGGGTTTCGACACAAGCAAGCTGTCTTCGGAGGGCTATTCAGTCCTCGTCTCGCACAACGATGTCACACTTCCCAATGGCGAGGTGGTGGAGAACGGCACGGAGTTCCGTAACTTCTTTCACTTGCGCCCAAGCCTGACGGCTGACTTTTTCGTGCCGTGTGGTGGTCGCCCGGCTGCCGTAAACCTCAACAACGTCGAGCAGTTCATGTACCGGGAAGATGGCCGCACGCTCCGGTTCAAGTACATCGTGGAGGGCGCTAATCTCTTTTTCACGCAAGACGCCCGTTCTCGTCTCGAAGATGCCGGTGTGATCCTGTTCAAGGACGCTTCGGCCAACAAGGGTGGTGTCACCTCGTCGTCTCTCGAGGTGCTGGCTGCTCTTTCCATGACGGATGAGGAGTTTGCTGAGCACATGCAGGTTGACGAAGCCACCGGCAAGCGCCCAGCTTTCTACGCTGATTATGTAAGCGAAGTGCAGAAGCGTATCGATTTAAATGCCCAGCGGGAGTTCGAGTGCATCTGGCGTGAACACGAGCGCTCGGGCACGTACTACTCAGTGCTGACAAATCAGCTCAGTGAGCGTATTACGGACCTAAGTGCCAAGATCCAGCACTCGACACTCTGGGAAAACGCGCTGCTGCGCGAGAAGATCTTCGAGGACGGCTTTCCCAAAATTCTTTTGCTCAAGACCTCAAAAGAGGAGCTCCTAAAGCGCTTGCCGGAAAGTTACACGCGTGCTTTTTTCGCGTCGCAACTTGCGAGCCGCTTCATCTACAGCGTCGGCCTCGGCGCTCCCGAGTTCTCGTTCTACGAATTCATCGAGAAACTCATTGGCGGCAAGTAAATTGCTCTTTAAAGGTGACAGAACGACGGGCGGCACAGCATAGATCCGTAGGTTGGTTGATAACTAAATGTACATATTGAAAAGTCATGCTTTTACTTTTGCTCCTTCGGTTGTGACCTACTCTTTAAGGCGTTCATTAGTTCGTGTACACCACTTCAGTCTATTAATGCATTATAAGATTGGTCAAAATTCATTAAAAGATATCCAATAGCCGCGTATTAACGTACTAAATAATGCGTCAAAAAGCGGGTATCTTCACTTAATCTTTGTATACTTTCGGTATTCCACACGTTCGAGGGGGCCACCACCCAAGCACCAAAACATAATTAAACGCGCCCCGAACACCTAAATACAACCATAGATTGGTGACCATGCAGCGTTTCCAGGTGCGTCCCATAGCTGCAACTAATAGCCACTATTATAGTAGACACACTTTTTATATATATCTTGCTACTAAATGTAGTCTTAGCCTGTCAAAATGGCTCGTGATGGCTTTAGAATCCAACTAAGTAGCATGAAAAGAAGGAGACTTGACCTAGAGACTAAACTAGCACGTTTATCTACCTTTGTTCACCGTTAACAGACTGCTCTGCGCAACAAGAATGTGTGGCAACGTGTGGCTCTCTTTGACTTGCACCAAGTCACCACTGTAGCCCGCCATAAAGCTTCCGTAGTCATATCGGCACGCACTTTCAGCTCGCTACCAGACCATGAGGTCGTAGGTCTGCCAGCCCTATCTCCTACAATGGAGGTGGGCACTATTGCTAAATGGAACAAGCAGGAAGGTGACCCCATCTCAGCCGGTGACGTCGTGTGTGAGGTGGAGACGGACAAGGCCGTCGTTGATTTTGAGGCCACGGACGACTCGTATCTGGCCAAGATCTTGGTCCAGTCAGGATCTGGTGAGGTTGCCGTGGGCAAACCCATTTTTGTTACTGTGATGGAGGAAGAGGACATTGCTGCTTTTAAGGACTTTTCGGCTGACGCTACACCTGATGAAAACGCTGCTCCGGCTGCACCCGCTGTTGAAGTGGCTCCATCTGCTGCAGTCTCCACAACAACATCTACGGCTTCCGCTGCTCCGGCTACTCCACCTGCTTCAGGACGTGTGTTTGCTAGTCCCATCGCCAAAAAGATTGCCCGTGAGTCTGGTGCTGTACTGTCTGTGATCAACGGCTCTGGTCCAAACGGCCGTGTCATCAAGGCCGATGTGGAGGCTGCCCTGGCTGCTGGTGCTTCCGCTGCGGTTAAGGAGGATGTTGCTAATGCATCATCCCCGGCTGCCACTGCCGCCACCGCTACTACCAACTACACGGACTACCCGATCAGTCCAGAGGCTCAGGCTATTGCCCAGCAGCTTACGCAGCAGAAGCAGGAGGTGCCGCACTACCACCTGTCGACAAACCTGACGCTCGACAAACTCCTTGATGCGCGTGCCCGCCTGAACGCTGGCCGTGGTGAGGATGAACAGATTTCCGTGAACGACTTTATTGTGCGCGCCGCTTCGCTTGCCATGCGCAAGGTGCCAGATGCCAACTCGAGCTGGAAGGGCTCGTTCATTCGTCAGTTTAACGACGTGGATGTAAACCTGATGGTGACGTCGGCTTCGGGTGGTGTTGTGGCCCCCGTGCTTACACGGGTGAACCGCAAGGGTTTGGATGACATTCGTAAAGAGACGCAGGTAGCTGTGGCCAAAGCAAATGATGGTACCTTTGAGCCAGCCGACTTAGCCAATGGTACCTTCACGATCTCCAATGTCGGCCAGTTCGACGTGCAGTCGCTGGCTGGTATTGTGCGTCCGGAGCAGTCGTGCATGCTTGGTCTAGGCGCAATTGAGAAGAAGGTGGTGCCGAACGACGACCCAAACGCTGATCAGATTTATAAGTACGCGCAGATGATGACCGCCACGCTTGCTTGCGACCATCGCGTCATTGACGGCGCTGTTGGTGCGCAGTGGCTAGCTTCCTTTAAGGAGCTGGTGGAAGACCCACTTAAAATGATCCTGTAAGTGGAGCGCCATGGAGCCGGCAGGAAGCGAGGAGCGAGTAAGGTATTTAGTTTCATGGTGTCCTGCGCGCGACGACTTGAGCTTTTCTTGACTTGATGGGGACCTGTTTTCCTTGCGGTCACGCCGTTTTCGACGCCGGTGATCGAGCTGTTCCATTTCTGTTTAGGGGCTCGGAAGCCAAATAGATTGAAACGGAGGAAGTTGGTAAAGAAAAAGAATATCCTTTGGTTAGTGTACTGAGCGTAAGCTTCCACCATGCTTACGATCGATCATACTACAGCGTCAATCATGTCATCACCAAAAGGTTTCTTATGGTACCAGAGTGGTCTACCATCTCTGGTTTCCACCCAAGAGTTGCATGTATTCCGAACCTTGTTCGTACCCATGATTGGGGAAGCGGGGAGTATGATGAGATTCGAAAGGGATCGGCTTTTGCATCTTGTAATTGAATCTCGTTGTAACTGAATGCAGAGCTACGAGTATTTCATTGTATTTAAAAAACTTCGGTGACTAGCTGAATGTGGTGGCGCAGCAGAATATTGGATCTATAGAATGTATTTCCTAGGCTTCATCATTTACTAGCTAGCTCACACTTTTCGATAGTAAGGAGACTGAACATTGGAATGTTAAAACATGTTTCTTTTTTAAAATCGGATTATGAATCGACAAAATGACATTGGTGACAATCAATACCTTACTGTGTATGATGCTAACGAACGTACACATGCACCATGGCAGGGCAACACTGACGAAGCGAGGACTAATCGCGAATGCGGCGACGGACGCACTTCGGATTGCTGGCTGGGGGGTCGGCAGGAGGAGTGGATGAAGGAGTTTGGGCTTCAGCAGGAGAATTTTGGGCTTCAGGAGGAGGAGTTTGAGCTTCAGGAGGAGTTTGGGTTTCAGGAGAAAATTGGGCTTCAGAAGAAGGAGTTTGGGTTTCAGCAGGAGGAGTTGTGGGTTCAGCAGAAGGAGTGGATGAAGAAGTGGACGGAGAAGTAACGGTTGAAGTGGTCCCACCTGTGCCGCCTTCAATCACGGCGCAGCTAATGTAAACTTGCCATGGCTGCATGTGCAAGGCCAACCAGTAGAATGTCAGGCGTTTCGCACCTTTGCAGAGTTCCTTCTTGTAAGGCAGTAGAGCTGGGGCCTTAGGGAAGTTCTTGGGACAGTTTAAGTCTTGGAATACCATTTTGTCGTCACACCAAACTTCACAACCACCTTCGTGTGATTCAGTAAAGCCTTCTGTTGGGGAATGGGACCACTCAATCATATCCGGGAGTGGTTGAGGAGGCCCATCAATTTCAGTTATTCCACATTCGATCGTAGCGCCAGGGGTGTCAATTATCGCAACTGCAATCACAAGTTCCCGAATGTTTTTGTATTTGCTTGATTTCAAGCCCTTCCAGAAATTTTCATTGTTAGTAGTAGGATTCTGATCGAAAGGCCCGTCCCAGTCTAATTTTTTCGGATCGATCACTGCGGGGTACTTAGTCATATCATTAACATTTTTAACAAATGTACATTTTGGCTTGGTCATGATGCCGTGTGCATTTACACTACTCGTAAAAAGAGCCATAGCTCCAAGCACAAGAGCGATCTGGCTCTTTGAATTCAGCATTTGACAAATGGTACGATGAGATTTAGCTTGCGTCCTTGATTGAGGAAATTGAGTTGTGAAGAAGTCATCTATAGCCTTTGTCGACGGCCAAATGCTCTCGAAGGAGGAGGTATAATACCCCAACCCCTATACACTATGCCAAGCAATTTCAAATCCTATGCACGTCGTTGACTGCTCATGTTGGCTTATCTCTCGTCCACCATAGAAAAACCCAGCCCTCGGTGATCGGTTTTAGTGTCACGTTGTGATTGACCCACCCCAAGTCGAGTGTAGCGAATTCCGTCGCTCTTGAGGCGAATGTCGTGAATATTACGACACACAAACGACTAGTGTCAGCACATACTAAAGAGACGTATTGGAGTCGATAAGCCAACACATCGGAATTCTTTACCGTGAAAACATGGTATAGAGTGATTTGGATACGAATATACACGCAGCCGGTGCGACAGAGTGCTTAGCACAGCCCACGATGTTGTTATCCTGAGATCGGATCGATAAAGAGGAAGTCTCTACTCTATCTTGTTGAACGCATCGCATTACAGCCAAGTACCGAAACCAATTGGCTCCGAGCAGAGCCGCAGCATATGTTGTGCTCTGAGCAGCTGGATTTAAAGAAAGATGCGTGAGCTATTAAAGTGCACGTAAGAGAAGATGGTAGATGATTCGAGTGATGCGGCCGACATACTAAAATATGGCCGAGGACGCGCTGAATCTTTTTTAAGTGAACGAGGGAACTACGAATATTTCGGAATGGTTGGCGACGATAGTGAAACGCAGACAAAGAGTTCGAAGCATCTTCTCTGGACCAGCGACAATACGTGGACTCAAGCACGTACCTACAACGGGAGACTCGAGCGGACCCAGGCTCCGAGCGGTAACGCTTGAAAAAAATCGTCAAAACTTAGCAAATAAGCCAAGGTTGGCAGAATCGACTGAGCCGCTGTGTCGGACATTTTGTTGAATCCAAGAAGTAGAAAATAGCCTCCTATTAAAGAAGCTTTGTTCACTACGCTTGCAGATGTTGTCAAAGACTGAGCGTACTCGAATGTCAGAAGCTCGGATTCGAGCGAAGCGTGCTAACTTCTTTTTCCTGTTGCCGTTAAAAGCGATTGTTTCACACTGTTTAAGAAAAGACTGATACATACATGGCAACAATGCTGGAGGTCGCGACGCGCGTGAGACTTAAAATTGTTAGGTAATACCGGCACAGCTCAGAGAGAGGAAGGGGGTTGGCGTGTTGAATTATTGCATCGGTGTTGATCGTGAGCCGCCTCTATATCTATTATACAGCTGGTTTGTCTTGTTTTTACAAGAGTCAAAACTTGGTATCGCTTCTTTCTTACCCGGGCAGCCTTCTACATTACGTACTGGCTGTTTTTCGAGCTAACGTTACCAAAAATTCATATGTGTAGGTGTAATACAGAAGATGTCTAAAGTGATACCCCACTGATCTATCAGTTAAGGCAAGTTATTACTTAAAGCAGTATTACCTTAACCTATCTCGGTCGGGTCTAGAAACGTGATCGGCAGCAACACCTTCAACACTCGAACTGCGTCGAATTCGTGCTCTTAAGCCAACTCATGACCCTGTTCCTTGAATTTACTAGCCATTGCTTTGTAAATCGCCGGCACTCGACCTCAGTTTTCGTTGTAAAGCCATTGCACCGTTACAGATGCGACGCTCACGTCGGTCCAATGAGGTGGCTAAAGCTTACCAGGACCTTAATCAGGTGACCCCATGCGTCCACAGAAGGCTTTACAGGTTCATTTAAGATTTGCTACGACGACACCCGACTAAGTCTCTGTATCTGCTGAGCTTCCGTACGACGGGAATGTCTGCCTAAGCAACAGCACGTTGGTTTGTATTGCACTCGCCACCTAGTAGGTGTATGCCAATTGCGCATCGCTTGGAGCACCTGCCACATCCTCGTGATTTCAACAGCACTATGATACAACTCGTTGCTGGTAATTCATGTTATGTTCAACATCAAGTACAAACGGGAAATGCCGTGAAACTAATAGCCACACAACTTTACTCTATGCGTTCCCTTGCGTGTAACGGGATTACACGACGGTTGTAGCGTCTTTCCGAGAGTTTACGCTTGAATTCTCCTTTCTATTGCATATAATGCATTATTATACTTCTCTTTAGAGAGGTATTAAGTATGAGCGTTATAATACGGTATTCGGTAATACCGTATCTTATCGATTGGGATTCGATAAATCACTAACGCTGTATTAAGTACATCATACACAGATGTTTAGACGATACGTCGTCCAATAGCAAAGTCTGCATATAATAATTACTATTATAGTAATTAATCTAGTGTAGTGTACTTAGAGTAGGACTATTCATGAAATCTTAAAGCATAAATATAATCAGTTCTCCTTTTGAGTTTAAGATCGCAAGTCGTTCTGACTTGCTCTCTTGTGCACTCTGTGCGTTGGTTTTCTGAACCCCTAAGCTTCTAGCTTGTTCTTGCACTCTGTGCGTTGGTTCTCTGAACCTTAAGCATATTGCTTTATTGACTAAAAGTCTCTTTCCTATTTCCTTAGAACAGGGTTACTTTCAGTCGTTTAATTAGTTCCTTAGAACTAAGTGGCTTTTAGCCTTCACTCTATTTAGTTCTCTAGAACTAAGAGGCTTCCAGCCGAAAGTCTTCCTCTGGCTAAAGAGCTGTATAGCTCCGCAACACTTGGTAGCACTCGTAGTCAATCCTACACCTGAGTCCTTAAAGACTGACCCTCTGTGAGAATGGAGAATCAAAATCACCTCTCTGAGGCACAACGACTCGCCTTAGATAAACTATCTGCGTTCGTCGGGCCTGATCAAATCGAGGCCCTTTTGGCCCAAGGCCCCGAGGTTCTAAATGCTCGCCTTGAGGCCTTTATGCGTTATGAGGCAACGCTCCTCGGGCAGGTCCATGACCAGGCAGCGTCAGCTGCGCCTACACAGTACATCCCGGTACCTGTGCCCGATGCAGAGCCAAAGGCTCGTCCACTTGTTTAAATGTAAAGACCTTCGAGGGGAAGGAGGAAGAAAATCTTCTCCTCTGGGTCCGAGAAGTTGAAATGGCAATGGATGCCGCCATGCTTGTTTCAGATAAGCAACGAGTTGGCTTGGCCATTTCGAAGCTCGGTGGAAGAGCTAGAGAGTGGGCTCTAACGAGCGATGTCTCTGTAAATGCCGCATTCCCCACATGGGAAATGCTTAAAAAGCAATTAACTTGCGCGTTTGCACCGCCTAATCAGGCTTATCGTGTGCGCTCACGCTTCTTAGCTACCCGACAGGGTAAGAAAGAATTGTCGGACTATGTCCAAGAGTTGAGAACTCTCATTGCTGCTATGCAGCCGGACCCTCTGGCAGAAGAAGTCCGAGTAACCATTTTTATGGAAGGGCTTCGTACTGGGGTCGCCAGGACAGAAGTTTTCCGTGTCAAACCTTCGACTTTCGAGGAGGCAGTAAGCATAGCGTGTAACGCTGAATTTAATTTCAAATCTGCTCGCTATGGTCTGCCATGGTATCAATCAAATACCTCTAACAGGGCGGAACCCATGGACCTCAGCCATGCTGAAGAAGCTGAGCTTCAAGCTGCTGAACAGCAAGGTAACATCCGTAGATGTTACATATGCGGAACCACTAGGCATCTTCGCCTTAGCTGTCCATTGCGAAAGCAACGTTCAAATCGGCAGAGCCGAAACCCTGCTCCTAGCCAAAAGGCGAGCAGGGGAAAACGTCAACTCCCAGTAGGCGCGGGGCGCCCTACTGGGAAAGAACTAAGTTCTGTTGAATCTTTAGGAGGTAAAGGTAAACAGGGCTTAGCCCCGGCTGGTTCTGTGGATGCTCCCATAGAACAAAATTACAAGCCAGGCTTGTTGGTTGTGTCGGCAACCGTTAAGGGTTTTGAGAAACCATGGTCAATTTTAATTGACTCAGGGGCGTCAGGGAATTATGTCCGACGTCGCTCCCTTGAGGGGAGTCAGCTGTATGCTGAGGCGCTAGAAGCGCAAGAGGGTGACAGTATAACCGTACGTCTCGCGACCGGTGTACGTGTCACCGTTCCTAAAGTTCCGTTGAACTTAGGTGTGAAGTTCTTAGACTTCAATAGCGTTGAACGCTGTCTTGTCCTAGATTTGGACTCGAGATATGATCTCATTCTCGGTATGGCCTGGCTGGAACGCCATGAGCCTTGGATCGATTGGAGATCCAAAACTTTAGGCGCAACGCGCAATGTTCCTAGCGAAGCTTTGGAGAGTCATGAACCCACCTTCGCTAGAAAACAAAAGTGCTATTGGCGCGAGCCATTAACTGATTCAGTTAGTGTGCTGGACATTGGAGTGTCTGAGTTGATAAACTCCGATGTCAACAATAATAGTGTCG